ACGACAACAACAACGACTACTCCTACTCCTACGACTACTGCGACGACTGCGACGACTACTACGACTACGACGTGGGATTCGAAGTCTAAGTTTGCAGGGCTAGCGAGACCGAAATTTAGCAGCAATAGGACCACCCACCAGGTATGCCTTGGTCTAGAGTGTAAGGTTTAGGGTTTAAGAATTAGGGAACCCTAAGCCAGAAGCCCGAAGTCATACGCACAAAAGCAAGAATCGGCCGGCTGTTCTCAGTACGTTTCGCCGATCAAAGAGAGAGGCACGCACCGTGTTTCGCCGATCGAGGAAAAAGTGGCGCAGACCGTGTGGCAAGGAGATCAGGGTGGTCGGGTTAAGGGTATGGAAAATAGGGTACTCCTTGTACACCCGTAGTATACATCACCTTCAAGGGGATCCCCAAAATAGGGTACGTACCCCCCAATTTTCGGAAACCATCCATGGGTTTGTTAGGTTTTGCGGTTTTTGGATGCAGGGTTTTTGGGATGTTGCGCTTTAAAGGAGGTTTGGGGATTGAGGGTTGGAGTTGAGAGCTTTTAGGGTTTATCGTTGAGGGCTCCGGGGATTTTAGGTTTAAGGGTTCGGTAGGGGCCCTGAACCCTCAAGAGTTTTGAGGTGCTCTGCATATCAGAAGATTCCAGGGCTTAGGGCTTCGGGCTTAGGGTGTAGGGTTTAGGGTTTAGGCTTTGACATTGAGGGTTGAAGGTGTGAGGTAATATAGGGTTTAGGGAACACTTCGAAGTCCAAACACCTGAGCCAGGACGTGCAGCAGCAGCACTTTGCTTACGTGCACACGCGGGGGACTTGGCAGCGGGGCCAGCCAGCCTAATCCTGCATCCAAAGCACAAACTGGGTTTAGGGTTTAGGGTTTAGGGTTCAGGGTTTAGGGTTCAGGGTTTAGGGTTTAGGGTTTAGGGTGTTCCTCCTTATACTAGCAGTCCTTAGTAGGGATTATAGTACCCGATTGGAATCACTATTGAGGACTGCTAGTATAAGGGGGAACATCCCAACCCTAAACCCCTAAGACCCGAAATCCTACTTCAGTAACTCTCCCCTAAACCCTAAACCCTCGCTTACTAGTCCCTATTGAAATTTCAATCTCGGCCTGTTCAGAGGTCTAAGGGTATAGGGTGCAGGTGTGATCAAGAATGAAGGTCGATAGCGAAAGCTAGAACCCTAAGCCCCGACTCCCACAAACCTCAGCGTAACGTTGAGGGTCTTTTGTTTTGTGCCAGCGCCTCCATCAAGTGACCAGTTTCGGGAAAGGACGTGGCAGCTATGGCGAGCGGCACTAAGCCCGAAGCCCCAAATGACACGACTGGATGAGTTGAACTGGATTTCGGGCTCAGGGGTTATGGTTGCAAAAGCCTAGGTAGACCACAAGTCAAACAGAATCAAACTAAAAAAACTAAACCCCGAACACAAGCCCTTTCTTCAGGGCTGCCTCAACACTTCCCGAAATGCTTGTCCTTACAGCCCTAAACCCTAACCCTAAACCCTATACCCTTTAGTGTTAAGGTTTGGGGCCTGTCTGGGCTGCCGACAAAATATGGTTCTAGGGTTTTCCAAGGCCCTGTGGTTGTATTCTGGCCTTAGGCTTTAGGGTTTTTTTAGGGTTTGGGGGCTGGGGTTTAGTGTTTAGAGTACCAAGGCCTGTCTGCTTCGCGCCATTTGTCAGGACGAATTCGGGCTTGATGTTTCTCTGAGTGATTTCGGCCTTCGGGTTCACTGCCTAGGGTTTAGGGCTTAGGGCTTAGGGTTTTGTTTTGGGGTTTAGGTTTTAAAGTTTAGGGTTTAGGGTTTACGGTCCCGCGCGTTGGGAGTGGAGGGCTCTACTTGCCTGCTTACTCGCAAACTCGTGGGGGAAATATGCTTTCCATCCAAGACTCCGAGAGAAGTTCTTATCTCAGAGTGTACTCTAACCCTAAACCCTAAACCCTAAACCCTAAACCCTTGACCTGCTTGGGTTTAGGGTTTAGGGCTCAGGGCTCCCGAACCCTACAGCGCCTCAGCAATTAAACCCTCCCTTTTTGCTCCTCCTCTTGGCTTGAGGCACCTCTTCTACATCTTTCTGGAGCTCGTGAAGAACGCCGCGCGCGCCTCGATCGAGCCTCTCGACGCGCAAGGAAATGCAAACCTGAACCCTGGGCCCTAACCCCCCTACATGAAGGGTGGCTTGGGTTTAGGGTTAAGTAGGGATGTTTAGGGTTTTAGGATGTAGGGTTTAGGGTGAAAGTCTTGCGAAATTCCTTGACCGAGGTTGGCTCTTGCGCAGGTTTAGGGCTCAAGGGTTTAAGGGTACGAGGTTTCCTACTCCCAGATGCGACACATGACCCTAAACCCTAAACCCTAAACCCTAAACCCTCAACCCTAAGCCCTAAGCCCTAAACCCTAAACGCCACAATGGCGGCACAGGGGCACTCTGCGGAACGCTGCTACTAGGGGATCCTGACAGAGCTGCTGGTGCGACCGCAGGGCTCGAAAGACGGCCGCTATCCGCCTTACGCCGAGCCGTACTCGAACAGTACGCAGGGTTTAGGGTTTAGGGTTTAGGGTTTAGGGTTTAGGGTTTAGGGCTTAGGGCTTAGGGCTTAGGGCTTAGGGCTTAGGGCTTAGGGCTTAGGGCTTAGGGTTTAGGGTTTGGGTTGGTTGCAGCGTTTTTTCTGTGATCACTCAGAGCCAAAAGCGGATGGCCGTCATTGGCAATCTGGAAGGGTGGCCCTTTCCTTTTTTGAAGGGTTCCAAAATTCACACCCTGAAACCCCAAACCCTAAATCCTTTGGGTTTGCAAGGTAGTATTAGGGGCATATGCGGAACTCCCCAGTCAAGCCAGGGCCCACAGCATGGGCCTTTGTCACTACCCTCAGCCCGGAACCCTAAACCCTAAACCCTAAACCTAAACCCTACACCCTAAACCTGAGTAGGGATTTCGGGGTATTAGGGTGCCAGTTGGTGGTTTTTTTTGTCAACAACCGTGACGGTTTCGAGGTGAGGTTCAGGGCCATACTCAACCACAAGTTAGGGCTTACTTGGAGGTTCATGGTACTTACTAACCAATTATAGCTTTACTGATAACTGTACTTATACCCACAGTCGGGCACTTGAGGGGCTTATAAGTACAGTCATAAGTACAGATATAATTGGCTAACGAGTACCATGAACCTCAGAACCTCCAAGTACCTAGGGCTTATAGTGTTTAGTGTTTGGGGTTGTGGGTTGAGGGCTGAGGGTTGAGGGTTGGGGACTCACGCCTTGAGCTCGGTCTCCCTTTCTGTTCTCAGGTTTCTGCAACCCGAAACCCCCTCCCCAAAGCCCCTATTCCCCCAAACCCCCCAAACCCCCCAAACCCTAAACCCTATGGACATTAAGGGACCCTAAGCCCTATCCGCTCAGGCGCGTCCAGACGGCTGCAGAAAGGAGTGGCGCCTCGGCAGGTTGCCATATTTGGTGACTTCTCAAGATTTGGGGTCCCCTGTTAGGGTTTAGGGTTTAGGGTTTAGGGTTTAGGGTTTAGGGTTTGGGGTTTAGGGTTTAGGGTTTAGGGTTTGGGGTTTAGGGTTTAGGGTTTAGGGTTCAGGGTTAGGTCCCCTGTTTGGGGTTAAGGATGAGGGGCTGCCTAAGAGCAGTAACCCCCAAAGAAGTTGGGTTTAAGGATTAGGGGCCACCTTATAGTAGTAACCCCCCAAAAGACCACACTTTAGGGAAATGACTATTTCGGGTTTCGGGGTTTAGGTTTTCGGGAAAGTCAGGTTTGGGGTTTAGGGTTTCAAGGTTTCAGGGTTTACGGTTTTAGGTTTTCGGGAAAGTTAGTTTTGGGCTTTCGGGTTTTCAGGTTTTGGGGTAGAGAGGGTTGCAGGGTTTAGGGTTTAGGGTTGCATAGGGCCAATCAAGCCCAATCATTCAAGCCAGGTTCTCCAGGGGGAGAACCTAGGGAGGGTAGTAACCCTAAACCCTTCAAAAAACAGCCCGAAACAAACTGAACCCCAAACCCTAAAACCCTAAACCCCAAACCCTAAACCCTACACCCTGAAGCCCGTGATTACATCAGAAGTACCCAGGCGAACGAGCGGAGATCCCGTCCATGAACGTGACGGTGCCGGAGGTGATCCTGCACGTAACCGACCCTACAAACCCCCTAAGCCCCCAAGCCCAGAACCCCAAACCCCAAACCCTAAACCCTAAACCCTAAACCCTAATTTGAAGCCACGCATGCCTCTACAGGGCGAAGCTGTGAATAGCATGCTTCCTAAACCCCGAACCCTAAGCCCTGATCCCAGAGCCCTAAGCCCTAAGCCCTAAAACCCTAAGCCCTAAACCCTAAACCCTAAACCCTAAACCCTAAACCCCAAGACCCCCCTAAACCCTGGGCCCATCTCCGGGAGAGCTTCATGTCTCATCGGTTGCCGACCTTTTCCCTGACCCCTGGTTTAGGGTTTAGGGTTTAGGGTTTAGGGTTTAGGGTTTAGGGTTTCTTCCTTTCATTTCTTACCTTCGTGCTTTTAGTAGTATGACACTATAGGGGTTTTCGGCCCGTTCACTTCATTCGTGCCTACAATAAAGTACATGCGATCGCAGGCTCACTTGTGACTTTATTGCATTATCTTTGTTCACTTATATATTCCTAATGCAATCGGGACAAGAGGTAAGTTAACGTAGTAAGCGCATGCTCTTTCGACGCCCTGTGCCTTTTTCTTTTTCTCCTTTTATTAGTCTTTTTTATCGCGCACGCAGTAAGCATATGATTCGTACGGTCGCTCTCTTCGTTCTCTCCCTTACAATCATGGTCCCCTTAAACGCCAAAAAAAGACGAGAAAAAGGAAGGGCTTTTAAGGGACCGTGAGGACATGAGTGAAGAATAAGAGAAGAGAGAAAGACCGTGTTTCGATTAATGTTTCGCTATTCAATCGGGTTTCATGCCTTCATTGGTTTCACTCACTCCTTATAAACCCAATTAAATGTCCCCTCTCGTCATCGTAGGCCTCTAGGACATGACGCCTGAAAGCCAGGGCAATCGGGACAACCGATGCCACACAGGGTCGCTGGCGCAGGGGGACCTCGAAAGACCCACTACCCCTGAATCAGAACACCTTGAGCCTAAAAATAGCAACGATCAAAACCATGACAGAATCGGATCAAGAGCTTCTCACAACATGGGGGTTTCCGAAACTAGGAGGTGCCTTTTTGGGGTCCTCTTTATAATAGAAGGGAATCCTACTATTTTGGGTCTATTTTAGGGGCCCCGATTTTCGTAAACCCCCAAAAGGATTGGGCTTCGCAATTTGGCCGAGACGCCCGTGGATTGGGTGGGCCATGGATGATCGAGTCCACCAGATCGTGTAATGCCATGGCCCCAACCAATCTTCACCAGCTGGCTCTAGAAGTGTTTGGGCGAAACTTACTTAGCCAATAGTTGAACTTTAAACTCTTTGGGCTTCCTTATTTAGTAGGAAAAATAAAGTTTAACCTTTTTCCCCGTGGTTGTTGGAGAAGTAAGGAAACATCCACATGAAACGCCCTTGCTTGGAGTGCATATACGTACCCGCACACCGAGCCTGCAGGACTACTAGCCAGATCATGGACTTCTACAACGGGCTCCCTAAAACCCTAATCCCTAAACCCTGAACCCTAATCCCTAAACCCTAAACCCTAAGCCCTAAACCCTAAACCCTAAACCCTAAGCCGAAGCAACCCGCACCCCCAAGCCCCTCAACCCTAAGCCTAAACCTCCCTAGACAATCCAGACCCTTTAAACCCCCAGACCCTCAGCCCCATCTTCACGCCAGGAGGAGGGCATCTGGGACCACGAGCGGTCCGTCAAGCTTGCAGACCGGGGAACAGGCGCCCCCTTTAAACGGGTCGAAGGGTCTAGGGTTTAGGATTTAGGGTTTAGGGTTTTTAAAATTTAGGATTTAGGGTTTAGGGCTTAGGGTTTAGGATGTAGGGGTTAGGGTTTAGGGTTCAGGGTTTAGGGTTTAGGGTTCAGGGTAGCCCGAAAGCCCAATACCCGTAGACCAAACAGCCGAGTTCTTGTCAATAACCATGCGGCTTGCGATTTGACGAACACCTTGGACGCCTAACCGATGGGTTTTGGCGACTGCGGCCTAAACTCAAAACCTCAACCCTCAACCCTAAAGTCTGCACACTTAGAATTCGGGTGTAGGCTTTAGCCCTTGCAGTAGGGTCTAAAGTATGTAAACCTGAATCCCTAAACTCCGTCACCCTTAAACCTAATTCCGCACATCCCCTGGAGGCATGAACCGGAGCGTGCTGGGCAAGGCTGGTGCATGCCTGATGGGTTTAGGATTTGGGGTTTAGGGTTTAGGGTTTAGTGTTCAGGGTTTAGGGTTTAGGGCTCCAGCTCTTCTGTGGGTATGGTTCGGGCTTCTTACGGTTCTTGCGTCCTTGATATCGGCCTTACCTGTGACTTAATCCAAGTCACGGGCACCATAAGGAACATGCGAAGGGAGCAAAGGAGTCAAAAAGAGCCCTGGGTGGTTTGGGGTTAAAGCCTAAACCCTAAACCCTAAACACCAAAACTCTAGATACCAGGAACGCCTTGGGGCTCGAGATGGTGTCAGTGTACAAAAGGCCATGGGGTCGTCGGCAAGTCGCACGGATGGAGTCCTCGATCGACAGTCTTGCCATGTGCAGTACGCGCCCATGTGGGTTGTACACATCTCCGAAGTACCTGACTCAGCCAGTCGAACTTTGGGTTTCATCATTTGTAGGAACAATCAAGCTTAGCCCTTCTATCAAACCCTAAACCCCAAACCCTAAACCCCAAACCCTAAACCCCAAACCCTAAACCTAAATCCTGAACCCTAAACCCTAAACCGCCGAGAAGCAAGGTACTCAGGATGAGAGGAAGGATTCCCTCACACCAAGATCTGAAGAGACAAGGGCTTCTTTGGCCTCGCGAAGGTCCTCCCCGACAGTCCCTAAGCCCGAAGTCCCGAACCCTAAACCCTGAACCCTAAACCCTAAACCCTCAGCCCTAAACCCTAAACCCTAAACCCTAAACCCGAAACCCTCCAGGTCCTCTCCTAGAGTCTTGGGTGATCTTCATCTCACACCAGTGGCTGGGGCGTGACCATCCTGACCCACAGGGTGAGCAGCTCGCTGTACTGCAAGATGCGCTGGGGCGGTTGATGGCTGGGCAGATGAAGCTGGGTTTAGGGTTTAGGGTTTAGGGTTTAGGGTTTAGGGTTTAGGGTTTAGGGTTTAGGGTTTCTAGGATGCCCAGTAGTACCCTTATTCCCTTTTTTTGGGGGTTTAGGTTCCCTTATAAGCACAATTAAGCAAAAAAGGGCACCCTTTTTAAGCCTTGGTTACTGGGCAGCCTAGGTTTAGGGTTTAGGGTTTAGGGTTTAGGGTTTAACCCTGACTCAATCCCATATCCCCCTTGGGAACTATTGTTGTATTCTTGTTCATATAAACCCCAAGAGGATATGAAACATGTGGTTTTTATGTGTTTTTTGTTAAGGTTCTAAGGGGAGTATAGAATCCTGGGCCAAGGAAAGTCGAGCATGATGCCGCAGTCCAGTTCTTTCGAAAAGGCCGCACGCTGACCAAAGCCGAGTGCAGCAAACTGCAGGATGCCTACATCTGGTTGGACTACTTCAGTGTCTTGAAGGGTTTAGGGTTTAGGGCTTAGGGCTTAGGGTTTAGGGTTTAGGGTTTAGGGCTTAGGGCTTAGGGCTTAGGGCTTAGGGCTTACGGTTCAGGTTTAGGGTTTAGGGCTCCCTTATAATCCCCTTGAAACCAAAAGGGCAGCCTTCTTATTCCTGGGTTACTCTACTTCAGTGTCTTGGTAGGTTCCAGAGGTACCCTTTAAGGTTGTAGGCTTTAGGGGCTTAGGGTAGGGTAGGCTTATTCTAAGATGGTGACTGGGCTACAAAGGTGTGCCTCAGATGGTTCCGGATTCCGCGCGTGAAGAGCAACTGAAACATATCAATTCCATCCCCTACTACGTTCACTCATCTGAGCTCTTCCTGGCGGTGGTCCCCAGGTGTTTCCACGAAGATGGCGATTTGTGCGGGGAATCCACCTGGCTACAGCGGGGGTGGTGTCGAACCGAAATGTGGTGTAAACTGCTGCAAGTGTCAGACGTCTCGGACATTCCCATCATCTTCGTGACTGCCGGCGACTTGGCGCGCTTTGCCCTGCCCAGATGGATTTGGTACCCTGTCCACTCAGGGCAATTTACTTTGGAAGCGGATCGCCAGTCTTGCTGCCATGTGGTGCAAGAAGCACTCAAGCACAAGATTTTGGAGCCTTGCTAGCCCAGTGGTGCCCTTTTGCACTTTTGGCTCTATAGGTTCCCTTACAGAGTATACGTAACCAACCTCAACAAACATACCCGCATAATAGCAATGGCGAGTTCGGGGACCGCTATACCCTAAACCCTAAACGCAAAACCCTAAAGCCTAAACCCTAAACCCTAAACCCTAAACCCCATTCCGGGCTGCCCCCCAAGGAGAGGAAGCAGCAAAACGACCTGCAGCGCTACCGGCTCCTCCTTGCTCTCTTCGAGCACCTCGTGGGCCTGCCACTAAAGCAGCGGGACGTGGAGGAGCCCCTGGGATGCCCCCAGCAGTTTAGGGTTTAGGGTTTAGGGTTTAGGGTTTAGGGTTTGGGTTTGGGGTTTAGGGTTTAGGGTTTAGGGTGGAACCCGTGTTTTTTTTTTTGTTGTGGGTGCTTTTTTGCTGTGGGTGCTTTTTTCGGGGGCCGCCCCGGTGAGTGAGTGACCTGGCGCGTGTCGCCCCCGCACCCGCAGCAAAAAAAAAAGGGGCCCCCGCACCCGCAGCAAAAAAAAAAAACGCGCCCCGCACCCGCAGCAAAAAAAAAAACGCACCCCCCCCCTTCCCCCACCCCCAGGTGAGTGAGTGACCTGGCGCGTGTCGCCCCCGCACCGCAGCAAAAAAAAAAACGCGCCCTCGCACCCGCAGCAAAAAAAAAAACGCGCCCCCGCACCCGCAGCAAAAAAAAAAACGCGACCCCCCCCCTCCTCCCCACCCCGCAGGTGAGTGAGTGACCTCGCGCGTGTCGCCCCCGCACCCGCAGCAAAATAAAAAACGCGCCCCCGCACCCGCAGCAAAATAAAAAAAACGCCCCCGCACCCGCACAATAAAAAACGCCCCCCCCCCCCCCCCCCTTCCCCCAGGTCATTTGTTTTTGCAATTTCCTCCCCAACCCCGTCCCCAACGCCCCCCCCCTCCTTTAAACTGTGCAAGCGTTTTCAAAGCACTGAATCCTTCCCAAGGCCATCATGCGAGCATTGTGTTTGCTAACGGTGGAGGGAGGGCTGCACCCCGCCCGACCCCCCCCCCCTCTTTAAAACCGTGCCAGCTAGCTTCTCAGCATATGAATCCTGTCCAAGCCTATCATGCCAGCATGGGGTTTGCAAATTGGGGGGGGCTGCGCCCCCCCCAACCCCCCCGCTTCTTAAAGCCATGCCAGCTTGCTTCAAAGCAAATGAATCCTTTCCGAAACCATCATGAAAGCATTCCCCTCCGCTTGAAAGGGGCGGGGGGGGGCTGCGCTTTTTAGCCGGGCAAGCTTGCTTCAATCATACGAATCCCTTCCAAACCCATGATGATGCGAGCATTGTGTTGCAAATGGGGGGGGGGCTGCGCCCCCCCCCAACCCCCCCGCTTTTTTTGGCCGGCAAGCCTGCTTCAAAGCTTACGAATCCCTTCCAAACCCATGATGCGCGCATTGTGTTTTCAAATGCGGCGGTCTGCGCAGCCTCCAACCCCCTGAAAAAAGAGGGAATATATGCCTGCTTTCCTACGAAAATTCAGACCTTATAGTGGAAGTTGAATTTTCCGTTTAAAAATAGAGATATAAACGTCTTCTTAGTAAAGAATCGAGAAAATAGAGCTTGTGTTATGAGACATGAACAAAAACACTTGTTGTCTACGAGTCACAGATAGAGATAATGCATGTACTCTTATGACAATATAGAGAATTAGCTTTTCATGTATTCCTCTCATGTCTTCCTCGTGAAACAAAGAGAAGATGTCTGAAAATACTGACAAAATAAAAAAACTATAGAACAATAGAGGTTTTCGCTATACAATATAGAGAAATTAGATGTTTCCTATGACAACATAGAGGAAATAGAGGCTTTCATACGAAAATATAGCGAACATACAAAGTGTTTTCATATCAAAATGTAGAGGTCTTGATATTCAAATATAGAGAATAGAGGTCTTCATGTTCAAATGTTAAGACAATGGAGGTTTGCCTATTCAGAGACAGAGAAAATAATGGGCTTCCTATTAAAATAGGACAAGAGGAACAAAACACTTTTAATTGCAAGTCACACATTGAGATAACACAGACAATAAGTTTCTCATTAAATATAGAGGAAAACTATGACGATATAGACAAAAATAGAGAGAAATAGAGGTTTTCGTTATAAAATATAGAGAAATAGAGGTTTTCGAATTAAAGTAGAGGTTTTCATACTAAATGTAGAGAAAACAGAGGTTTTCATATTCAAATATAGAGAAGAAAGAGGTTTTCCTATTCAAATATAGAGAAGAAAGAGGTTTTCCTATTGAAAATTAGAGAAAATAGAGGTTTTCATAGTAAAATATAGAGAAAACAGCAAAAACGCTCCGCACCCGCAGCAAAAAAAAAAACGCGACCCCACGGCACCCGCAACAAAAAAAAAACGCGCCCCCGCACCCGCAGCAAAAAAAAAAACGCGCCCCCCGCACCCGCAGCAAAAAAAAAAACGCGCCCCCGCACCCGCAGCAAAAAAAAAAACGCGCCCCCGCACCCACAGCAAAAAAGCACCCGCAACAAAAAAAAAAACACTCTTACCGGTTTAGGGTTAGGGCTCCTGGGATGCCCCCAGCAGTACCCTACTTAGACAGAGGGTTTACGGGTTTGGGGGTTTAGACTACTTGAGTTGAGGGTTTAGGGTGTTGGGTTTTGGGTTCAGGGGTTAGGGTTTAGGCTTGAGGGTTTAGGGTTTAGGGCTTAGGGTTTAACTAAGCAGTGTTTTTGGTAAGCCTGACGCTGGACAAACCGAGGTTCTTGGCCGACTTTGCTTTCGACAGCCAACAGAACCCAGGTTGCTGTTAAGGAAGTTTGCCAGAAAAGCAAGTCCGAAGCCCACGGACCCTAAACCCTATACCCTATAAACCCTAAACCCTAAACCATACTTTGCCAGTTGTTTTGAAGTTCCTTGACACCCACCCAGGAATTCACGAGCACAAGCTGGTGTTGGCCCAATAGCTTCTTGGGTTCATATAGAACTGCACCCATTCTGCGAAGCAGGGTTAAGGATTTCGGGATACTGTGAGGGCATATGAAGGAGTTCTGGTTTTTTTGTGAATGCTACAAACCCTAAACCCTAAACCTTAAAACCTAAACCCTAGATACGGGGTGTCTTTCTGGGGATGCTCGTGTCTGGACCCTACTTTGCATGAGTTCCCGTGCATTGAGCCCTGAAGCTGGGTATACAGGGGTAGGTTGATGTAGGTTGGAACAGAACTGTGAATGGTCAGTACCGTTTAAGCCCTACATAATCCTTATAACGCTATAAAAGCCCTAAACCCTAAACCACCCCCAGTTTAGGTTTAATCCCCATTTAATCCTTATAAAGCAATACAAAAAACCCTAAACCCTAAGCCAGCCCAGTTTAAGATCAAGGAGCTGAACAATCTACTGGGTTTGTTCGGAAGGTATGGCACGTTTCTATGGGCCCTCTACACCCCATAGGACCCATAACGCAACCCTTCACCAAAAGAGCCCTGCGTACCCCTTAATAAAGGAGTTTGCCTTCATTTACAGAGAGATCCTGCATATGATTTAGGGTAGTTTCCTGAATTCAGGGGTATAACAGGCTCCTTGGGCCCTAAACCCTAAACCCTAAACCCTAAACCCTAAACCCTAAACCCTAAACCCCACGCCAGGCATGTGCTGCGTTGGCTGGAGACTGTGGGATGATCCGCAGCCTTCTTTCTGCCGGGGCCTCCTTGCACCTTGGTTGCCCATTAGTACCCTTTTTCCCTTTTTTGTGGTTTGGGGTTTAGGGTTTAGGGTTAAGAAAAGGGTACCCTTATTTTAATATAGTTACTGGGGCTAGCAAGGCACACCCACGCACATGTGGATGAGTTGATCGGCATTTTGCCGGGCTTCTTGGGTGCCGAGTGGAGGCAAACTTGTGCATTTCCTTTTTTTAGGGTTTAGGGGTTAGGGTTTAGGGCTACTGGGACCCGGAGTAGGCCCTTATTTCCTTCTCTTTAGGGTTGAGGTTCCCTTTTGTCCCCTCAAATCCAACAAGAGTACCCTTTTTTTCCTAGCTTGCTCCGGGGTCTCGTTTTTTTCGGCCACGAAGCCCACTTCAAACACAAAGGTCAGGCGGTTTACCGCTAGGAAAGTCAGCCCGACAAACCCTAAACCCCAAAACCCTAAACCCCAAGCCCTAAACCCTAAACCCTAAACCCCAAGCCCTAAACCCTAAGCCCTAAACCCTAAACCCCCCTACACCGAGGCTTCACGCCCTTGCACATGGCCTGTCACTTCCGCTCCTCGGCCCTGGAGCCCCTGCAAACCCTGCTGGAGCTGCGGGCCGACCCACATGCCACCTCGGGCGCGACGCCTGCGCCTCTGAATCTAGGACTGGAGTTTAGGGTTTGGGGTTTAGGGTTTAGGGTTCAGGGTTTAGGGGTTAGGGTTTAGGATTTAGGATTTAGGGTTTAGGAAATAAGGGACACAAAATACAGACCGGCACATCGTCGTCGTCGGATTCCCTTCGTTTCAGGATCCCAGTTGAGGTCCCCCCCTATTTTCGACAACCCCCCATGTGCCGGCCATGGCCTGCCATCCGTAGAATGGCTCAGTTTAGGGTTTAGGGTTAGGGTCTATGGTTTAGGGTTTAGGGTTTAGGGTTTAGGGTTTAGGGTTTAGGGTGAAACCGAATTTCGACCGAATTTCGACCCATCCGAAACGTGCACTTGAACACAACATTGTGTACACCAACGTCACAAATTTTGCGAGAGTCGGTTTTGCAGCTTTTTTTGTAAATCCAATTTCAGGCTTAAGGTTGGGATGTTCTAACAGTCCTTAGTAGGGACTATTATCGGGGGAACTATAGCCCCCTATCAAGGACTGCTAGGACAAGGGGGAAGCAGGTCGTTGGCCCGGTCGGGAACCTCGAGGCCGAAAGGCTAGGGTTTAGGGTTTAGGGTTTCGCATGAAAAGTTTTGCTGCGGGATGTTGGTTAAGGGCACTACTGTTTGGTCGGGTTTAGGGGTTTAGGGCTTAGGGCTTAGGGTTTTTGAGACATAGCTCGGCGACCAAGCTCGGCGACCCTTACAATGCCACTGGCAGGCTCACAAAGTCTACTGTGTCATAGTTACGTGCTTTCTCCGCTATTTGCTTAAGACTAGCCAAACAGAAAAATAGCCTTTCTCATGAGGGTAATTTAGGGATTATTGTCAGTTTTGGGAGGGTTCTTAAGCAAATAGTAGTTGCAAGGAGGGATCCCATTGCTATACTAGCTGTAGTTAAGGGACTTCTAGCCTAGGTGAGGAGCCTTAGAACCCGATTTAGGGTTTAGGGTTTAGGGTTTAGGGTTTATAGGATTTAGGGCTTAATTAGGGTACTCTACTTATAACGGGGGGCGGGGGGGGGGGGGGGGAAGAGTCCTTCTTGTATGCTCCTTGGCAACAACCCAGGAACTTCTGCCGAACTGCAGAGGCCGTAGAGCTCCTTGTTCAACATGGGGCATCGGTCAATGCCGCGACCACCTTGTTCAAGTGCCTTGGGGACCAAGTCGGGTACTTATTTGGGGAGTTTAGGGTTTAGGGTTTAGGGTTTAGGGTTTAGGGTTTTAGGTTTGACGGTTTCCGAGATTTGGGGTACCTTATTGGGGTCCTGACTAGACAGGAATCCTAGTATTTGGGGGTCTAGATTAGGGGTCCCTTATTTTTGTAAACCCCCCCAGATGAGACCTTTATCAGGCAATCGGGTTATGGTTCACATACCTTAAAAATGGTTATTATGGTTCATACGCTTTGGACAGGCTATATGCAATTCTAGTGTTCATCTGGTCCCCCCAGGTGGGCGCCCATCCATACCATGGCCATGGGCGGAGTGCCGCCGGAGACTTTGGCGAAGATGCTGTGCTGCGGTTAAGGAACGTCAAAGCTGGGATCTTTAAGTCTATAGTGAGCATTGTTTCCTGACTACGGTCACTTAGTTCAAGTTCCTTGACAACACCCTGAACCCTAAACCCTAAACCCTAAACCCTAAACCCTAAACCCTGAACCCTAAACCCTAAACCCTAAACCCTAAACCCTAACCCTATAAACCCTAAACAACCCAGGATGTTGGAGCTGCGCGCAGATCCGAACGGAGCCGCTGGGGGCTCTCCGCCCCTCGGCTTCCTCGCCTATGTCGGCAACTCCAATGCCCACCTGATCGAGTCGGCCCAGCTCTTGATCGACAGCTGGCCTGGATTTAGGGTTTAGGGTTTAGGGTTTAGGGGGCCCAGTGGTGCCCTTTTCCCTTGTGTTTTTGGTTCAAGGGTTTCCTTATAAAGTAGCCGGCCCAAAAAGGGTGCAACAAAAGGGTGCCCTTCCTACAAGGTTTGTATTGGGCTACCAGGACAGCTAGCCTGCTTTTGGTAGCATGTTCGCATATCGGCCGGTTTATAGGCTTACCTGGCCGTTCAATTTCGATTGTAAGAGTTGGGAGCCTAAACCCTAAACCCTAAACCCTAAACCTTAAACCCTAAGAAGAGCCGAGGACAAGACAGCGGATGTGAACCGCTTGTACCAGACAGAGGGCATCTGGCGCTTCATCGAGCTCAGCTGCCGAGCCTACAGCATGTGCTCCCGAGAGCCTCCCTTGCTCATGTCAGTCTCTTAGCAGCTGAATGAGTACGCTCTATACTTTTTGGGATACTAGAATCCCCTGTTTAGAACAGAAAGTGTGCACTTTGTTCTTTTTTGTGGGGGGGGGGGGGGGGGCTTCTGAACTCAGCAACTAAGGTCTTTGCCAACATGACGACAACGCCCTTAGGCTTCTGCACCTTGTTTGGCTGTGAGGACCTTGCAGTGTTCCTTCTCAAGTCACGGGCTGATCCCGAGATCTTGAACAACAGAGGCCTAAGCCCAATTCAGCTTGCAAGTACTAGTAAGTTGAGGCAGGTGGCCGCTGTTGCTCCAGCACATTACCTGTACCTCTCTGACAATTTACAGATAGCGTACTTCTGAGACACTCCGGAGGTCTGTCACTTGGTTTAATTCGAGTGCCGCCGAAGGCGCACCACGGTTTAGTTAGTTCGCGTCGAAGGACTTTGCCAGACGCACGCACCAGGAGTAAGGAGAGATGTTGAACAGACTTTCGAGGACATTTCCTTCAAGAGGGGCCTCAGCATGTACCCAAATGCTTTAGGCTTTTGGGATCCATGTACCTACATAGGGAAAACTTGGGCCTTAATTACACATACTTCCCACACTGGGTTCGAATCTCGGCTGAGTGTCTAGGAGGTTTCAGCGGCAAAAAGGCTAGGTAGTATTGTCAGGCTACCCATGGGAAGCGATGCACCGTGACGTACCCCAGAACCATGAAGCCTAAACCTCTACACCCTGAATGTTGTGGCCTTTCCCGTAACCTTAAACCCCAAAGCCCTGAAACGCCAGAACCCTGAAGCCCTAAACCCCAAAACTTCCAAACCGCAGGTGGGTTTAGGGTTTCGGGTTTAGGGTTAGGGTCTGAAGCCCCCAACTGTTCAAGCCCTACAGTCAAGAGCATCTTAGGCCTTAAAACCCCAAACCCTGAAACTTTATCTCCCCAAGGCACTAAGAGCCCGAAAAACTCAAAACCTCAAGCCTAGCAACCCATGCACAAATCCCTGAACCCAAAACCCTGGCCCCTACAACACCCTAGAAGCCCTAAGCCCTATATGCACTAAGCCTAAAACCACAAGGCCCAGGACACCCCAAACACCCAATCTTGGTGCTTGCCCCTCAGCCCAAACCCTAAACGCGGCGGTGACCAACCTAAGCCGCGAACCCCTTTTAGGGTTTAGGGCTTAGGGTAAAGTTGTGGGTTTCGGCATGGGGTTTGGGGTTTAGGATTTGGGGTTTGGGGTTTAGGGCCTGCAGGCCTTTTCCTACTTCTACTCCTCGGTGAAAGCGCGCCCCACCGTGGCTGCGGAGGACCACCAGAGGGGTAAGGATTTAGCGTTTAGGGTTTAGGGTTTAGGGTTTAGGGTTTAGGGTGCTGGGTTCAGAAGTTAGGGTGTGGCTGAGGATTTAGGGATTCTGAGGTTTTGGGGGTTTACAAGGTGTTGGCGGTTTAGGGTTTAGGGCTTCTGAGGTTGGGTTCTAGGATTGAGGGTTTATGAGGTTTGAGGGGTTCGGGTTTAGGGTTGAGGGTTGAGGGTTTAGGGTTTAGGGTTTAGGGTGACACGCCCTTTAGCGACTTTGGGATTTACGATGTGTTCATTTTTAGGGCTTCAGGGCCTCGGGGTTTTGCAGGGTATTGGGTTCACACAGCCCGAAATTGTAGCCTGCGGGTCTAGGGTTTAACGGTTCAGGTAGGGTTTAGATTTTAGGCTTTCGGGTTCAGGGTTCAGGGTTTAGGGCCTGTTATTGTAGGTTTGACCACCCGATGGTTTCATGGCGGGCGTCCGGGCCTAGTCCTGATGCCGAGGTTTGATTGCCGGAATCGGAAGACCAGACGTGGCCATAAGATTGGACCATCCGCACCGGTGGCACAGTGGACGCTGGGCAAAGGTCCGATCGGCTGCGGGCACTATCGGCGCAAGGAAGAGCTGCGAGGTAACAAAACCAAGAACCGCTACCCCTTAGGGCTTGGGGCTCTATGCCCCTTAGTACCCCCTTAAAGTGCCCCCAGCAAGGCGCTGTGATTCCGGCACTGGATTCGAACTCGCCGTGGGGATGATTGTCGGAAGTGCCTGAGGCTCCCTAGGTGGGGCGTAGGGTTCTGCCCTGAACCCTAATCTAAGTTTAGTTTCGTGGGCCCTTAATATGGTCCCTAACCTCCTTTAACGGGTTCTGTTGTATGGGCCCCTTCTTCGTATAGAGTATATAATACAAGGGCGTATATAAGGGGTCCCCGTTGAAGGGCCCCAAGATCACGAAACCTCCCTTTGAGCCCTAAACCCCCGAACCCTGAGCATGCGTTCGCTAATTCTAGGTTGCTGGAGAGCTTCATCCCCAAGTCCAAAAACCCCTCAACCCCTCCTAAACCCCAAGTGAACATCAAACCCCAACTAAACCCCTGAACCCCCGAACCCTAAACCCCCGAAGCCCTAACATCCCCCCAAATCCCCCAACCCTGTAAACCCTAAATCCCCTAAACCCCTTAACCCCCTTGAGCCCTTCAACCCCGATAATCCCTACAGACCCTATAAGCCCTGCAACCCTTTAAACCCTAAAATCCTGTACTGTGAACTTTATAAACCTGTAAGGCCGATAAACCCTAACCTCCCCAAACCCGATAAACCCGAAAAAAAAACGATGGACGCCTGTTAACCCTATAAACACCAATTAACCTATTAGCCCTATTTCACCCCTACAATACGCTACAAAACCCTACACACCCAATAAACCCGATTAACCTTATAAACCCGTAACCCTACTAACCCTAACCCGAAAAATCCTAAAGAACCCTCCCTAAACCCTAAACCCTAAACCCTAAACCCTAAACCCTAAACCCTAAACCCAAGAGGTGAGTGACTTCGACCGCCGGATGCCCCTGGCGGGTTTCGGTTTCGGCCTGCCGCGGGGGGCACCCAGCAGGGTTGTTTGGACTTCGGGCTTCAGGCTTCAGGCTTCAGGGTTTAGGGTTTAGGGTTTAGGGTTTAGGGTTTAGGGTTTAGGGTTTAGGTGTTTAGGTGTTTATGTGTTTAGGGTTTAGGTGTTTAGGTGTTTATGTGTTTAGGGTTTAGGTGTTTAGGGGCTCAGGGGTTTTGGGTTCAGGGTTTTAGGGCTTAGGGCTTAGGGTTTAAGGTTTGGGGCTTTAGGTTTAGGGGCTTTATAGGGTTTGAGGCCTTGCGGGATCTTTTGGGCTCAGCGGTTTTCAGGTTTTGGGTTTGTACTGGCACGGAATCTTCTAACTTTTGTCCAAGCCTAAATACCCATAGATATTGCGATCTTCCTAGTTGACCAGTACAGACGTCTAGTAGGAGGGGGCGCTTTATGGGTACATGTTCATCAAATGTCTCTGATGCTTAATTTAAAGCAGTTGCTAACCCCCCAAACCCTCAACGCCCAACCCTCGAACCCTAGGCTCGAAACTGGTGCAGGGCGGAGTCTCTCATGGTAGTGGCACGCGCCCTTACGATGTTCGCTAACCTCCCCTAAGAGGTTCAGACTGAGAAGGAACCATGTAACTACCCTATACTAAGAAGTCAACCGAAGTAAGATCCCTGCAAACCCTAAACCCTAAACCCTAAACCCTAAACCCTAAACCCTAAACCCTAAACCCTAAACCCAAGGATCAGCCGCGTGATGGCGCGATACTTCGCAGGGGACATTGATGTGAACTCGATCCCTGGCCAGGCATGACTTCGCACAAGGATTCAGGGTTTTGGGGGGTCATGGTCCTTGGACCCTAAGCCCGAAACCCCAAACCCCAAACCCCAAACCCCAAACCCCAAACCCCAAACCCCAAACCCTAAACCCTAAACCCTAAACCCTAAACCCTAAACCCTAAACCCTCTCTGAGGGGAGTCACATGGCCCCTACGCCAGGGAACTGACGTCTACATCTACCTTTGACGCAGTGCCTGGCCTTTTCAGTGCCCTTATGGTCGTGGTGTTGTCTCAAAGTGAGAGCCTCCTTCAGTTTAGGGTTGAGGGTTTAGGGTTTCGGGTTTAAGGTTCAGGGTTTAGGGTTTAGGAGCTCCCCGCAGCCGCCTGATAGTAACTCAATCCCTAAGGCCTAGGTTTAGAACAAAACTAGGATTTTCGGATTTAGGTTGAAAGCTACGCACAAGTAAGGTCACTCTATTTAGTAGGTAGCCTCCTCTATTAAGTCAGTGTTCAAGTCTGCCAGGATACGCAGGACCAATGGCCCGCCAAAACTTCCGGGTGCGGTAACATGTGTTCCTGTTAGGGTTTAGGGTTTAGGGTTTAGGGTTTAGGGTTTAGGGTTTTTGTCATACTTTTAAAACGTATATCATTCCTGGACAGTTTTAAGGCAGCCAAAATCAGCTTCGACTATTCAGGCAGGGGGTGGGGGTTGGGGGGTGGGTTTAGGGGAACACACTCAAGGTTAAGGTTTAGGGTTCAGGGTTCTAAGGTTTACCCGGTTTACCCTAAACCCTAAACCCTAAACCCTAAACCCTAAACCCTAAACCCTAAACCCTAAACCCTAGGGTGTAGGGTTTAGGTGGAACCCTCAACCTCTTCTTTAGGACCCACGAGTGCATTGAAGTTCCGATGAAGGCAAGCTTTCCTGCGAGCGATACCCACCGATTGTGGCCAGACCCTGTTAGCCTGCGCAAAAGTCTCCAGGGTTCAGGCTGAGGGTATGAAGGGTTTGGGGGGGGCGGTTAGGGCTTAGGGTTTAGGGTTTAGGGTTTAGGGTTTAGGGTTTAGGGTTTAGGGTTTAGGGTTTAGGGTTTAGGGTTTAGGGTTTAGGGTTTAGGGTTTAGGGTTTAGGGTTTAGGGTTTAGGGTTTAGGGTTTAGGGTTGGCGTTCGTGTTCTCAACGGGTTTACAGTGTTTTGTAGGGTTTCGGGCTTATAGGCTGTAGGGTTTACAGGCTTGAGGGGGAATAGGACTGAAGGTTTTGGGCATGTAAGGTGCAGCCCTCTTGGCGCTCAGCGGCGCCTCGTTTTTTTTTGGTTGAGGGCAGCCTAAGTCCAGAAGATCCAGCCTCCCAAATGTTCAGGGTAAACCCTAAACCCTATAAACAGAAACCCTGCCCCCTAAACCCCCTAAACCCAAACCCAAAAACCCAAAACCCTAAACCCTAGACGACCCTAAACCCTATAAACCGCAAACCCCACAGCTTAAAGCTCGGGCGTAGGTCGTTTTTGAGCTTGGGGCTTCGGGTTTAGGCTGAAACGGCCTGAGGTTCAGAGGGGGCAAGTTTTGTTTGGGCTTCTGGCTTATCGGGCTTGCGCCAGACCTACGAAGCCCTTTAAACCCGAAACCCTAAGCCCTAAATCCGGGACGGGCTGGGGCTTCAGCCTATCAGGCTTGGATGTCTTTTGCGCTCGGATGCTGATTTGAAGCT